TTTAATCCCATCTATCCTCAAACTCAGCCAGTGCAGCCTCAGCCCGACTAGTTCATTCGAGGCACTGTTACTTAATCCTTGTAGCGCAGTAGCTTAGCCTTGTAGTCGTTCTGTTGTGTCGCACTGCCACAGCTGTATGAAAGGGAGGGAAGCTGCTGCTCAGGATGTCTAGGAATGAAGGGGTTTAGAGTTTGGCAGGGTGGTGCATTATTAGCGCTATAGTTGGCTCTGGGTGCCTGCAAAAATTTGCAACATTGTGTGTGTGTGTGTGTGTGTGGTGCATTTATGGTTGCACTTAGTTTGTGTAGTGTGGAATCCTTCTTCGCTCCCCTGGGATTTCTTCAGTTACAGCAACTAACCTGCATGAAATTGCGGTGGAGCATGGGAAATGGCAATGCAGGGAAAATACATGAGTCACTAAGACATTACAAAGTATTTACGTTCTAGCCCAGTTAAAATAATGTACACTGCTGCTGGTTTGTTTGGGATGTTGTCATGCGAACTCGGAACAGTTTTTGCTTGTCTACTTTTGCTTTACAGGGCAGTTCAACCGCCTACCTGCAGTGACTGACATCTCCAAACACGAACTTATATCGTAAAAAGTGGCAAGACCCGAAGTTATTCAAAGATGATTTGCAAATCTTGACATTATTCAGCGAGAGTATCTTCCTGTTCTTCTTTTTATATTTAATTAGATCAAGTGTCATGTACTGTGTTCCGTACTAAATGTCAAGAAGGTTTAATTTGATAATTTTAAATTTTTACAAATGAACATGATGGAAGGTGACACAGTGCAAGAAAGCAGGGGTAATGACTAAGAAGCCAGACTTTGGCCTAGTTAACTATTAATGCATGCTGCAGAGAAAGAACTCAATGGTTTGTATATGTACTCATAAAAACACATTCATCTCATTCAAATCGTTTTTTACAAGAAGGGAAATATATGAATTCATCAGCAAAATTTTTACAAATGCACATGATGGAAGGTGACACAGTGCAAGAAAGGCAGGGGTAATGATGAAGAAGCCAGACTTTGCCTAGTTAACTATTAATGCTGCTGCAGAGAACAGAACTCAATGGTTTTGTATATGTACTCCATAAACAACACATTATCCTCATTCAATTTCGTTTTGTACAAGAAGGGAAATATATGAATTCATCTTAACCTCATTGTCATTGTTTTATTTCAAATCCAGTGCACAGTATAGAGGCAAAGCGTTCCACTGAGCAGCTGCCATAATGCTGAACTGTTAATTCAATAATAATAGTTAGGTTTTTATCCCCAGTTCCCAAATGTAATCAAACAGGCTACCTCTAAAGTGGTTTTTCCCCTCATTTAAATTACAGAACACCTAATGAGTTTGCGCTGATTGTTTTCTGTTGTTACTGCAACTCCTAACGGCGAGAGACAGGTTTCTTTTTCTGTTCCCCACTGCTTCACCTGTGCAGGTACCGTGGCCATTATTAAGATTTCATGCTACGAAAGGGACACTGTCGGGTGGAAATACTTCAAACCTGCTCTCTCATTACTGGGACTGGGTACGAGGTCTAATGTTGCATAGCTGGAATTACACGAGATATGTCCCTGCTTTTGTCGTTGTTGTTGTTGTTTGACCATCATTCAGCGCGCAGTGTCCTGGTTATCCTGTGCGAGTGCTGTTACATGTCTGAAAACAGAATTTGCTGCCTCCTTTTTCAAAGATACAGGGCCAACCATATACTTTGGATGCTGCAGTTTCTAATTTCTTACTTCCTATTTCTGTGACTAGAAGGATAGAGGATCGAATGAAATCTAAAGGTCACCAGAACGGTAGCAGCACAAGCTAAAAACAAACATGTTACCTGGCAATAAGACTTGCTGCTATATAAATGAGGGGTGGTACAATTCTTCTACTTAAATGTATAGTACTCGGTAGTAATTCATTTTCTGCAATAATCTGTCCTATTAAAGATGCATTCATTGAAAATATACAGGTTTATAACATGAATGGACCACACATTTACCCAATTTCCCTTCGGGGATTGATAAAGTCTATCTATCTATCATAAATGATCTGCAGGGGGTTTCCACTGGTTGTTAAATAATGCCAATGACTCAAGAATTAGGCTTTGGCTGGTGCTGAGAAACTGACTTCATTACCAAAGCTTCTCTTCACCAGCTGTTTTAACACCTGTTGAAGTTTCACATTTATAAGTCATAAGATATTAAATGATTCTTATTTGACTACAAGATACTGTAACTCACTCTTTGTGGTGTTATACGAACTGGTAATGATCGCTCTCATCCACACAAATATCTGCTGCAGTGATTCAGAGGGCAGAGGCAAATTAAGGGCAACAGCCAAAGGCAAAGTCTGTCTGTGTATGACTATTCATCTGTCTGTGCTGCATGGTATGAACAGTAGCCTGAACAGTGCTTTTGTTTATTGGGCGGAAAGATATAAGCTTGACCAGGCAAAGTTTAGCAGCGTAGCAACAGTCAGGTATTCCCTCCATCTATCCCTTTCTTTCAGACTGTATATGTATTGCATCTTGGCCAAAGAACTAACATTTGAGGCAATGAAATGGCAACGAATCCCCCGTTAGCGCACCAGTTAACAAATGCAGACAGTCAATGTCAGTCAGCACTGAAAATGTAACTGTGCCTTCTACGTGTTTAAAATATAATTCATCTGGTAACAATCCAATAACAACTGATGACTTTAATGATTTTAGTTGTGTTTTTAGGTTATACCCCTATAGAAAATGTCAATATATCTTGTTTTGCCCGACCAACAGTCCAAAACCCAAAGATAATAAGTGTACTATAACGTTAAAACAAGAGAATGTATCGCATTTGAGAAGTTAGGACCATCAAATGTGTGGTATTTGTCAGTCCATGATCAAAATAGTTCCCTGAAATTTTCTGTCCATCAACAGCTTTTGCAGCTTTTGAAGAAAACAGGAAGTGACTCACACTCTTATTACTTGAGGCAAAAATACTGGGGATTGCCTTATTATATCTGTTTTAGCCATGCTGTTTTTCTCACAACTGAGCTTTATGAATCACAGTTACATTGAGATGTTTAAAGCTATGTTATTTGTGGGTGAAATAGTCAGATTTTCATACGAGTATTTAGATTTTTTTGGCAGCAACAGCACATATTCTGTTGTGGAAGGTTTCTTTTGTTGTTTTTGGTTATCATATGTGGTAGTCAGATGTCTGTGACCTGCAGAATGTTTAAAGTGCTTATTTTCTTTCCCATATCCCTATTCCCCACCCACAGCCCAGTGTTTTGATAGTCAGCTATATCGAGTCTGCAAAGGCGGCGGCCCAGTTTGGCTTCTACCAGAAGGCAGAATGGAAACCAGACGACTCCATGATAGCTGTGGCGGTAAGTACACCACTCAACCATCTCATCTCATATTTGCAGTTCGACTGACACTCATTGGCCCATGTCTTATATAATCTCCTGTAAGTAAAACGCACTAAAGCTGCATGAACTACTTGCATACAGAAATAGTACACACACAGAAAGAGTGTGACTTTGTTGTACATGTCACATGAAGTGCAAAAGGGGAAGGACTTAAGAAGGCTCAGTTATAGTAATCCATCACTTTCTTTCATGTCAAGTAAAGATCACGATGGATGAAATCATTATACGATACTTAATGTGTTCTTTTTGTCTTCCTCTCTCACTCTCCCCTTTGTCATTTGGTTTTCTTTCTACATTTTGTAACCATAATTCCCTCTCTCATCACTTTGTTACCACCTCAGTTTATTGTGTGTAGAAGGTGCTTCAATAATCGCTCGCTGACAATACAATTTTATCAGGATCCTTCCATCATAGAAAACCACAGCTGCATTGTAGCTGTGGAGCATCACAGAAGAATAAGCATAAAAAATGCTAGAAAGAAAAAGTGTGGCAGCACTTTTGTAAACAGCAGAATTTGTCCTATTTTTCTGTTATGCTGAGCTCCAGATTCAAGGAAAGTATTCCTGTGGCAATAAGAGCAGCACTGAAACACACTCCCTGAGCTCTCTTCATCATGTTGCAACCTCACTTCCAATGACACACATATCACACAGTGCGCATTGGTGTGGCATTAGTGTAAAGATTGAATTTTTAGGTGCCACAAAACATTGTAAAGGTGATTGAAAGTAAAGGAAAATAACAAAATGTCAGGGAAAAAGATAAAAGAGAACTGAGGCTGAGTTAGCATCAATAAAGCTTAATTTCCAGTCTCACTGTCACATGGTAAGAGCATGGGCAACACGTAGTAAATGCTGGTCATATGATCTGACTATTCATAAACATTAGGTACACTGGACATCTGTTTAAGCAGCCTGTTAAAATTATTTCTCGGCACTTACTATGCGGTTCACATGTGGTCAATGATCAATCAAAAGTGTTTCATTACTCCAGCTTGGGAACTGTTGGGGACTTGTGACTTACAGCAGGTTTCAGGCATGTGAGACAACTGTGTGTACATGTATGATATCTGATGCTAGACACGCTTTGACATGGATGGTTATCACTTTAGGTGTGCATCTTGCAGAAGGCCGCACGTAGCTCCATGCTTAATGCTGCTGGAATGTAGTGTCCACTTATAAAACAGTTTTAGCTCCGCGTGTGGTGCTTCAGGCAAATACTGCAGCATTTGAAAGTGTACCGCTGGCTGATTAAGTTACACCCAGTTAACGTGCAGCTATGGACTCCTCCAGGCATAAAACAACTTGGAACACCAAAAATGACCAGACACTAAACTGTGACAGATGAGCTGGTCAAAATTAAGTTAACGGGGGAGGCTCAGCATGTTGCCAAGGATAGGGAATGATAGAGGGAGCTCATTGTGTCTTTATGTCCCACAGGGGACGAACAGGATTCAGCAGTAACATCTTGAAATTACCTTATGGTAGTAATTTGTTTGTAGTAGATAAAGTCACTGACCAAACTGCCCTTTACCATTTTGAGATAATATTTGAATGCTGCAGTTACACTTTGCTCCCTAACTGTAGTATTGTCATACTTTGTCCTGTGCTGATCACCGTACTTTCTATCTGACTGTGACTCAATCAGCAGAAAGTGAAACAGTAGTTCTTTGTCAAATGGGTTCTTGTTCTGTGGTTTATTGATCACAAATGTTTACATTTCAGCTTTGATGTATTTACTTTACTATTACAGTAGTCATAGTACTTCTTTTGGTCTATAAATCGGTTATAAGGTGTGTATCACTCAGCTTTGCCATTGAACCTTGAGCCCTATAGTGGGAACAGATTACAGCCTAAAATGATCTAGCTGCCTCAGCTCTTTGGAGAGATGGAGATGGAGAGGGCCTTATGTTTTTGTATTTCGTGAATCAATACAAATTTACCTAAATGCTGAATCTGATGAGAGGAGGATACACAGCTTGCGTCAGCCTGTTTTTTTCTTCTTTTTTTTCGGTGGATCTAATCATAAAATGTCTTCTCCAGGATCTTCCTCCCTGCCATTATACTCCTACCTTAGTTAAACTTTCAAGAAGAACCTGCAACAACAAAAAAATATTCCAGTTATCAACCCACAAAGCTTAGAAGGCATGATAAAGATTCATGTGCATTTCCATGGAGATGAAATGACTGTGCTCTCGCCAGCATGTTTCTGTATGTAAGCCCACACAAGCTTACTGAAGTTTAGCCAGACCTTTCGTCCACTGTCACACCTCCAGTCAGATCATTTAATCCTTTGCAGTTCAGTTCCTTGACCATTATCTATCACCCATGGAATTGCATGTATTTTTTATGATTAAATTAACATATGCCTGATGAAAAGCATTCAGTCAGTTTATACACCATTTAGCACAGTATAGGCATAAAATCAACATAATTACATTGCTTACATTACACTCTCCACTCTCCATGATACATATTGACAGCTACACTGGCCTTTAACTGTCCATTGTGGTTAACACAGGTTACACTGAGGTAGAGAGCATAACTAAGTATAATTTGCAGTAATGTGGCACAAACACTGGCCTTCATCAGAACGAGGCAGCAGGTTTAGATCCCTCGATCCCCTGAGGCAGTGTGAGAGTGTATCATGGCGGGATTCATGGAGTTGATATTTATTTCTAGGATGGCATGTTATTTATTTTCAGGGTGGAATGACAGTCCCTTTTATCAAGCGTAATCCCCGGTAAGGAGACATGTCTGTGTTGAACTAATGTCTTGATACGTACTGTGGTGAATTCACAGACGGAACAACAGACGGATGCTGCATCTGCTGTGTCAAACATATAGTCTGAGCAGTGGTAGTGGAATTAGACTGTTTATCTGAGGATGTTCATGTAAATAAACAGAAGGCTTATGAGGATAAGCGTGTGATAGAAGCACTAATTCAGCTGCTTGTGGTCTTATGCCTTTGTTAGACAGAACACGTTTCTCGTAATGATTATAATGTAGTTTCAATAAAACAAAAGCAGCGCAGCATTCACGTTACACTCGAGCTTTACTGCCTTGATAAAGAATATCTGAGAAAGCGCACTTCGAGTCAGAGAGGCACTCATAATGAGAACTAGATGTATATTGATCTAATACAAGAAAAAAGGACAACACTCGGACAATTTGAACAACAGAACTTCACCTCTGACATTTTCTGTGTATGCTACCATTACTCACGGTTCTTTGCCGAGCACTCTGCACCTGAGGGAGTGTGGAGAAATTGTCTCGTTAGGTAATCAGTAAGGCAGTTGCCCGAGTCAGCAGATGACTCAATAGAGTCCCAAAGGCCATGTGATCAACAACACACAAGGACGGCCGCCAAGACCCAGAATAGAAGCAGAAGCTACAAACCACGGACACCGAGAATTGATTCATTAGAATCATTAGTGCCCACTGGATAAATGCACTGCTTTGTGTTTGTGTGGTGGCATCCATGCGTACTAGGGTGTGGACTCTAAACTATAAACTGCCAGGGGCATAAAAGTGTTTGCAGTTGAACAATAGAAAGTTTATTATATACAAATTTTATGAATGTCTCATTTTAACTGTTAAATGTAAAAAAAAATGATTGCAGCTTCCTCAGCATTTACATTTCCGTAGACAGTGTATCTGAGAATAGAAATTTGTCCACAATTGATAACATAAATAATGCTTGAATTCCCTCACCAAATAATAGCGTCTGTCTAATTAGAGGGATAATCGTTCTCAAGTAATGGTATTGCAGTCATCCGCGTATTACAGGGTCAGATGTTTCCTGTACAAATGTTTCTGTTCTGTGGTTTAGCAATTTCACCAAGGACAAGCCATATTATTTGGTTTCTTTTTTTATTATTTCCATTAGGGGAGTGCTGGAGTTTTTCATACTGTTGGAGCCCTGAATCCAAGGACTTCAGTGTTTCGCTTTTTTTATTTTATGTTTCATCATGTGCCTTAATCCAGCTAATGATCCTACATCTTTCTGCAAATACTGCCAAGGACAAGAGAGGCTGTTTAGAAGTCAGTGTGGCAGAAACAGTACATGTTTCTCCCAAAACACCACCCCTTGTTCTCAAAGCCACTCTCACACTGTGTCAAGGGGCTACAACAAGAACAGCACACACACACACACACACACACAGTTTATTGTCAGATTTAATGGTACAGCAGTTTATTTAAATCAGTATCATTTTAACAGAGAGAGGTTCATCAACAAAGAAATGTCAGATTTATTATATTTCATTTAAAATAAAGAAGACATAACACAAAAACACTAAAATTATATATAAATTAGCGCGATGACCTATTGGCCTCTTGGTGTCTGTCTCTGCCCCTCTCTCTGTATTTATTTTAATTTTTTTTTTTTTTTGAAGCCAAAGTACACATGATTGAATGCAGTGAATGTGTCTGGGAAAGCAGTAAGTCAGGTTTGGTCTCAGGCCCACCCTGCCAAACACAACAGGGAGCAGGTGGAGGAGTTAAAAATATCAGGGCACACTCTCTTTACTCACTTCCTGGGCTCCACAAATACAGAGTGTGCTTTGACTCACGACTGGTGAAAACTATTAAATGTTAATTTGGGGAGGACTGGCTTTACCTTGTGTGCCTGTGCCTGTGCCTGTGCCTGTGCCGTCTCTGTGTGTGTGAGTATAATGTGTTCAGTTCATTTGTCTGATTAAAAATGTGCATTGGCTGGAACAACCACAGACACAACTACAAACTGTATGCGATTTGCAACAGAAATCCCTCTAATACCAACAGTGTTGCACCCTAAACACGAGCTGCAGCTCTAATTGTAATGAATCTTTCATCCTCTCATTGTCTTTTAGTCCCGAACAATAAACTCTGCTTTTATTGTTTCATTTATTCTAGTTTTATTTGCCCTTTTAGGAGGATGTTTTTGTGTGGTGTAGTGTTTTTACTTTTCTTTCATTTTCA